TTAATTGAGATGTACAGAAGGAAAACGTGACCTAACATGGGTGTATGTGGTTGTTCGTTTAACAAGCCGCCAACAAGAACATTTTGTTGGTTACCAGAAAAAATTAATTTTTACATGAAACCACAGCCATTAAACCGAACAGGTAAATAGCGCGAGTTGCTTACCCGGATTTGATTTTTTAGTTGCTCACTTTCTTGCCGAAGCTGATCTAATTCACTCATGGTCGCAGTTAAAACTGAGGGTCAACGTCTGAAAAACGAAAAGGTCTGGTTAAGGATACAGGGCAAAGGAAAGCAAAAAGGTCAAATATCCAAGAAAGAAACGGTTTTACATAGGAACACTTCAAATGAGTCCTATAGCTGCTCGTTTTTTTCAATGTGTACAAATGATCGGAAGTACAGCAATAAAAATTTCTGGATTTAGAAAATTCACTATGGGCAACTATGTTTTCCTAATTAGTTTAGTTGTGTAGAATTAAATAGTTCCAGGGTTATAAATAATGAAAGACTTGCACGTAACTGTCGTATGAAATAAATCAGCAGGTGTGTACGTATACAAAATAAATTGATGCACTAAGAAGGGACGACTATACGGCAAAAGCGGAAACGGGCTCCTCTCAAGGAAACGAGGAATTTACAGTATGGGGAAAGAAGCGGAAGGAATCAGAGTAGAAGTGATGGCATGGAATTGAAATCTAGCAAGGCAAACAGCATCTACGGCCTAAAACGTGTCAATTGAGAAGAACCGTAATAACAGGCGCGCAAGAATTTTGTTGATGTATAAACATTTCAGAATCAAAACAAACTTCTAACAGGACAGTAATGAAGACCAAGCAAAAAGGTATTTTAGTCAGGATAAAAGAAGAATGTGCATCCACAGAGTACTGATTGAGTGTCTCCAGGCATTGTGACGTCGGTCAAATGATAGACCCATGAGCAAGCGGGAAAGTACCATCCTCTAAAGCATAAAGCCGGACAGCCCAACTGCCCGGTTTAAAGGAGCAAAGGAAAGTCTCGTGTGAGGCAGATGAATTTACATCTGCTACATGAAAAATTATAGACACACGATGACAATGACATCTACACAAGATGTATGAAAGATATGAGCCCCTCGAGAGTGTGACCACTCGATCAAAGTGCATATTAATACTGGGGGAATCAACAACTCTCACCTGATCACGATGGTGTAGATGTTCCAAAAATATTAAAACTGACAAGCAGTGTTTAAAAATGTTCTAAGGAACAAATAATATCCAATGACGAACTTTGGAAATACTCTCCAGTTGATGGAATATGGGAGGATACTTGATATAAAATACACTCAAATATATTCCAATCCTATCACGGATAACAATGTCAGCCATTATCGAAAGCGTTGCTTTTAGTTGACAAAAACTAACGAATAAAGGAATCGCTGTTATTGATGCTCACTTATAACGCAAAGCCCATATCGTGGGGACTCAAAAACTAACGTAGAGAGAAGTCCAAGAGAGCTGTAACTTCCACAGTGACGCCTTCGAAAAGAGCTCGTGTGCGCAGAAGACTTTTATAAAATGCGTTTATTTACAAATATACGGATAAAGACTTCAAACGAAATATGTTTGCCCCTAAACTATGGGTTAAACAGAAAACAAACACGTGATAGCTAAATATAAGTTCCATTGTGTTCGCATACTGTCTGCCATCTGTTTGCAATCGCGACAAGATCTGAACTATATTCTATAAGCACATAATCGTAAAAAGATATAAATTTAATAATCTGCGACAGGGCATTTAATCCTGGTTTGGAGATTTCGTCGAAAAAGGCAAAAACACGTCACCTCAAACGATTGGTTATCGTACGCGCTAAATCACCATACTCGACTAGTGAGTTCAAAAATTGTCCCTATTCCTTACACAACTGCAATCTTTGCGACAAGTGTCAGGAGAAAACAAGATCTTACAGATGGATCTTACGATGATAGCTTATCCGACCAGAAGCAAAGCAGAAAATGGGTCTTGTCAAGCTGGTAGAATTCATTGGTTTATACAATAACGATACGTATAAAAAGAAAACTATGAGATAATATGAGAAAACACACGAAGCATATACTAACACGAAATAATCCCAACACAGCGGCAAAGGAAAAAGTTTTCAAAGTGGAAACACCCTTGACTGATTTTCGTCTATTATAACAAACGCATTTTAATGATGGCGTATGTGGCATTCAGAGCCAGGTCATTTCAAAGAACTGGGATTTAAAATTAAATCTATGGCGTATATAAATTCTAAAATGGTCTTTAATTTGTAAGAGCCAATAATATAAATTAAATACTGCGTTAGCCGATCAGTCTATTCGCAATTATCTCAGTGATGGGAAGAATTGGGACTACGTTTTTGCTATGCTCAATGCCCAAAAGGCAACTTTATTCGATCTAATGAACATTATTGTGTCCGTGTAAATTTTTTAAAAGATTAAAACCCAGAATTACACATCCTATATCAAGCTATATACAAGCTATATCAAGTGACTGACGCAGCTCGCATGGCGGCAGAAGCCCACTTGAAGCAGGGCAATTCCTTTGTAATATAAGGGCTGACATTATGACTAAGAAACAAAGTCAAGGAAGAATCAACATTTATTCATAAATGGAGTGAGTCTGACGATTAAATTAAATTTATTGCACAATTTATTTTCGAAACCGTTTGGAAGAACGCTTACTCTCGTAACCTTTATGACCACTCCTAACATCAGATTATTATCGTTAATTCAGCGTCGGGTAAGGAAGCTTTATTTTGTCGCCGCGAATGAATCCGATAAAATCCCAATTTTCCACATTTGCTCCAAGTAAACAACATTCAGACGATACTGAAGCCGGCAAAGGAAAATTTATTGTGCGATGAACACAGTCGCGCTTCATACTTTCATAGACCTTGCTTCAGGCTTCATAGGCCACGAGTGTAGTCATCAGCCATGCAGAAGAAAACGAAGACATCTTGACTGTGGCCTCACTTTATCGGCCTACCCTGCCAGCACACGGCCCCGAAGTGGGCGGTCCTGGAGACGGGTCAATCCGGGAGAATCTGGAGCTGAGGAACTCTGTGGACGAACTATATCTACCGCACAAATTTTTCGAAATCTATTTTTTGTTAAAAATTATCCTTATTTTGCGCCTTGTCCTTTGAGAAAACAATCAATTCGGGGATTAAATGACAAAAAGGGCGTCCCGCTGCGGAAAGATTTTCGGCAGTCGGAGCAATACGGGTTGAAATCCCGGTCTTCGAGTCACCCAAAAATCCACCGCACAAAGTGTATCAAAGCTGGGCTGGGTTTCTCGACTTACACTCGGCGCATTAATCTGCAGCTTCGCCTTGCGCAAGTATATTCACTAAACACATGTGCTCATTCAGCAACATGCGCACCCATGAGAGTTTCTCACCAAACCCATTTCATTCCAAAATAGTCCACTGTTAGAAAGATCTACGATAAAGGATTTGGGTCTT